GCCCAGGCCCTGCAACGGTGAATTAGGGTTAGCTACGGAAGATTCTGGAACAACTTCACGCTATAAGTATTGATCCAGCCTTAGAGGTATAGGGGGAAGAGAGTCGACTACATTTACGTTATTCTCTTGCTAACTTAAGCATCAGAGCCCGTGGTTTAGCTCGATTTGATTTTGCAGGTACTAGTCCCGAATCAACAAGTTTGGTGGATGGGAGGTAGTGAACCGGAGGACCGAAATCCATGCATCAACAAATGGTATGATGCACTATGCCATGCGTAGGCCAACCTCACTGGTCGGTCAACCTCCATGGTATTGGTGTCCTTCCTTGGGTTGGTTGCTGATATCTATTTTGCCACTTTCGACTTTATCGGTCATTTCTATAACTTTAACAAAAATAGAGTTCTACCCTACCCCTAACATAACATAATAAATCCAAAGTAATCTAAATTGGGAAAAAAAGAATCGAATTGGATTGTTTATCACTTAAACCTCCCTCACTAGTTACTAGTATTCTCTCCATGTTCCTACACCATCACTTAAATGAACTTCTAAAGAAAATAATAATAAATATTAACTTCAAACATGGCTGAAAATTTAGGAAAAACAACATTCTCATCCAAAACATGTTTTAGTAGTGAAAATTAAAATTTAGGTATCTTAAACACCTAAATTTTATGAATAATGTGAATTAGAGGATAAGAAATGTTTAAACGGTAAAAAAATGAGGATAAGAAGCAAAGAACGGATGCAATTTGTTTTTGTCTTAAATGCATTCGCCATTAATTACAAAGTAACCAACCACCTTGAAAATATCAACACTCCTAACCTATGCTATAACTGAAAACCCCAAACCTTCCATTTGGTAGAAGCATCATTAATCCACAAATTAAGAAGTTTAATTAGTAGCATTTAACTTCTGATCAACCCAACTCCCCTAATTACCCATCTAATTAATTTACATTCATGGTCATTCAGCTCGAACCCCATCAAAGATCAAGGAGGAAAAAAAAAAGAGTAAGAAATCAAGAAACACCCAAAAGATCAAATTTTTTGTTTGCCCTTTGAATTGATCTTCATTCTTCAAAAGCTTTTCCGATGGCCTCGAATTGGAGAAGAAAGAGCAGAAGAGGCATCTGGGTTCATCTTTTTTGCAGTCAAAATTCTTCTATACTCCTTTCTCTTAGAGCTCTGTTTCAAAACAGGGACCAAATACCAAAGAACACAAGTGCAGAGGATGGTCACCGATTTCCCAAACACACTCAACAGAAACAGAATCAAAATCACCATGGCTGTAATATAACAACACGGTTTGCTCAATAATCTCCTTAAATTTCTCGACTGTACGATGCTCTTCTTGTCGGCCGGCTTCTGGATTGTCGATCGTTTGGTCTCTGAAACATCACTCTGCTTCTCTTCTTTCTTGTCCTTCTGCTTCACCACCACTGGAACGCACTCATCTGAATTCTTGTAAGCAAAACGAACCATAACTATGTTTTCTGGGTCGGTTTGGGAGTAAATTTTCTTCCTTTTTTCTTCAAGATTTGTTAACAAGGCAGAGAATTTGTCGAGGCCACGGTCGGAGTAAGGATTCTTCTTGTTTCTGGACCTTCTGGGAGTGGAATTGGGGCTGCTGCCATTTGGGGCCAATGATTCGTGAGCCATTACTGATGGGGAAGAAACAAAAGTTGACCTTTTTATGAACAGAGCTGCCGTCTGGAAGAAGGGGTTTGGGGATTGGAATGTGCGCAAAATGGAGAAGAAAAATGAGGATTCATATAAAGAAATTTAGACCCATTTAATCATTTAATGGTGGGGTGAGAAGACCAGATCCAAGCTAAAAGTTTGGTCAAATTGAAATCTTGAAAAAAAAAATAATAAATTTAAATACAATAGAAGCTTCGTGGCCCCATTGATTTGATTGACTTTGTTGGAGAAGAGAGATTGGATAACAAATTCGTTAAATAAATTGGTTGGAAGAAAAACGCAACTTGAAGAAGAAGTTTTAATTCGTCAACAAGTAATTTAAAATATGCTTGCCTCAAAAAATAATAATAAATAAATAAATATGCAGCAGAAAAGTCCAATGCTTAATTTAAGAAACAATTTTGAGTTTTCAATAAATGATAACAATGACAAAGATATGTTTAAACCAGATGCAATGAAATTTTTTTATTTATTTACCAGATTATCTTGTTGGGCATCTAAGAATGCCATAATATGACTGGTGTCTGGGAATGATGTTTAGAATAAAAGAACTTGGGAAAAACTTAATTTTTTTTCTTTGGTTGAAAAAATTGTGTTTCAAGAACAAAAACAATAACGATGATGACGATTAACCCGTTATAATCCATTTTCATTTATGATTTAAATAAGTTTTTTTTTTTTTTTTGGATTTCATCAACAATGTACTACAATCTATCAATATATTATTTTATGCCGTCTATCAATAGAGAAATTTCGAAGAATCATTCATTTCTTTAAAAAATTAGAGAACATAAATTTCAACCCTGTTCACAATCTCTAATTTCTTAGAACTATATTAAAAAACAAATGTTAGGTATGTCTAAGTGCTGATTTTCCTTGTTTTAAGATATTATCCGTATCAAAATAACATTTTTATTTTTCATTTCTTGAAGAACAAGTTTAATTAGATACAACAACCTTTTTTCTTTCATATGCAAAACTTTAAAACCCTTCTGTTAGTAGAAAATAGCTTTAACTCCAAGAAATACTTTCAGCAAGTAGAAAGTAGAAAAAACAACTAAATTAATTTACTTGTAAAACAAGAAACAATAGAACCCATGAAACGTTGAGAAGAAAGTGAGCAAAAATGAGACCTTTTTGGATGTGATTCTTAATCGAGCCGAAGGGGCAGTTGAGAGGGCAGAAGATAAGCATTTTGTGAATTGAGAATGTGATAAATGTAAAGAAAGTGATCCGTAAGGAAAGAAAAACGAGTCATTATTCACTTCTTAACCCTCACACAAACTCAAGGTCTTTTTTTTTTCTTTTGTGATAACTGGGAGTCAGAGCTTTGCTCCCAATCCAGAGACACCCACGCTCGCTACAGAGCTCGGATCCGAGAGACAAATAATTTTTTGGTATTAAGCTCACTAGAAGGTTCGAATTTGAGACCTTTTAAGTCAGTATTACCAAGAGACCCCAAACCCTTGTCAATTTGGCTGCCCCTGGAGGCGTTCTCAATCTCACCTTGAAGTCACTATTTGGACCTGCAAGGTTTCTCACCATACCCACCAACCAAGCAAAAAATACAAATGCATCTAGTAGTTAATTAACCTATGGAAAATGAACACCACGTTGCTCGTGTATCGAACAATCTATATGGTTGGCGTATTAGAGGACCATGGAAACACAGTAGTCTACTGTTTCTAAGTGCAAGTTTGTTGAATCGAAAAAACCCAAGGCAAAAGGGGAAATAATCAAGGATAGTTGCCTAAGACGGTAATAGTTGTTCAAGTTGACTCAATGGAGCACAACACAGTCATACTCTAGATAGTAGTCCACAACACATGCTTTTTACATTCATTCAACATCTTACCAGTCAGTCCTTTTGAGGCAATATGGTTGAGAAGAACATCAGCTACTGCACAGCACAGGTGACAAGACACTAGACATCGCATCGCCGTGGCTGCCCATTGATAACTTAGGCCCAAGCAGTGCGCATAAAAAGAGGAGGAGACTGGTTCACCAGTACATGCACTTTCTCAGTAGAATTGTATTGATGTTAACCATCAGTCAGTTGAACTCGAGGTTTTCATCATTCATGTATTTCTCTTGCACTGCTGCGACTGTAATACTTAGTTAAGTAAATTCAACAGACTGTTCCTTTAGAGTAATAAATCGACTTAAAATGAATTATTGAGTGAGGAAAAACAGCTCTTCAGCTCATTCCTATCTTATAAAGATAACTACGTTATAGCTAAGAAAAGAAAACACCACAAAGTTCATTGCTTTCAGAAATCACGCACAAGAAATGAACACTCTTTTTACCACTCTTTCACAATATAGCCTGCTAACTTGGCAACAGAATAATCATATGATTTTTAGCCTGCTAACTCTTTCATTTATTCACTATTATTTAAATAGAACTTATAATTTGTCTCCACCATATTCAGTACAGTTCCAAGACCAGCGACTAGATTGTGAAATTGAAGAGAGCAGGCAGGTAATTCAAGTAAATTTCAAAATCAACATTAACAAGAGAGGTGAACAGCAGATAAGACAACCAGTTGCATGTCAAGATTAGAAACAGCAATGAGAAAATATATAATAAAAAAATTGTACACAAAGTAAGGATATCTATAATAATCCCAGTCCGTAGCACCAACTGCAATCTTGCTAAATTCAACTGCGCTAGCTTCCATACCAGCAAAAATGTACCCATTGCTCTTGTCTATTAGCTTAACTAGATTCCCTACGCTCTCTTTATCCTGTGAATAAGAATCTGACTGATAAATCCTTAGATTGACCAAGTGATATACAAAAAGTGAGACGGAGTTGCTTGCCTGGATATCTAAGGTTGTAAAATTGACTAAACCAAAATCTTCAATTACCTCACAAAGCTCCTTAGTGAGCTTTCTGCAACAAAAAGAGAATAATTTCAGAGAAGACTAGAGATGCTCAATTTACAAGATCACTGAAATAAAGAACAATTGGTGTAAACTAACTCTATAGATCAAATTGATATAAATATTGGACAGTACCTACTCTATCATAACATATGAAAGAGTGTTAAAAAATCTTACAACCACTTAACTATCCACATGAATGGTATAAACATCAATAAGACCCGTCTCTAACAATTTGTAAGCACTCGTCAAGCTTTGCAAGCTAAATCCATGTTCGAGAAAGCGGAGAAAACACCAAGTGGGTATTTGTATCACACTAGATTATGCAAAGAAAATATGGAATTTTGGAACGAAAATCTTTTAGGACAGATCAATAATGAATATACCAATATAACTTTGAAAGACAGGGACTACAGTGAGAAAGCAACAAAGTCCTTGTTCCAGTTAGATAAAAGAATAACGAATGGCTGACAGTGAAGATATCAGGTATACTTCAATTAACCATTTATTGTAAAGTGAAAAGATCCAAAACTTGGCTTAGCTAGTGGCCATCAACATCAAACCTGTACTTAGCAGAACGAGGATCTTGGTCAAGATGACATTGTAGGTATGATAAATCTTGCACATCCGTATAGAAGTCAAGATTAAAAGCTGTAAGAATAAAAAATAATAAGGAGCAATTACAATTACTGATGTGATCACCCTCTTCTACCAAAACGAACATAACATTAAACATACCAAGCCTTCCATAGTTCTCAATTAAGTCAATCTTAGATAAGACATTAATGTGTGGGAGCTCCAGATGCAACATGGTTGATAAAGAGAGCAGCAACGCACTAATATACTTCCCAGGGTCACTGCAAAGATGAGCATCAACTAAATGCACCGCAGTCAACTGCAGAACAAGCAGAATCTTATTAAGAAGTTTTCTAATATTATTTTCTAACAAACTGGGATCCATTTGTAACAATTTCATTTCTGATTTTCTGTTTTTAAAGTTTAGACTTGTTCACTTCTAATTTATTTGTTTAGTTTTTCACCTTTTTAAAACACTTTTTAACTCTGAGCTAGACTTCAAAAGCAAAAACTACGTTATGAAAACTGCTTTTTTAGTTCTAAAAATTTAACTATGATTTTAAATATGTTCGGAAAGAGAGAGAGGTTAGCTTATTTTCTAATGACAGAAAAGTAGAAACACCAGGTTATCAATGAACCCTGATATTATTACTGGTTTGGAGGGAAGTTTTAAATACATAGTTCTCCAAAAGTCCATACCCTCAGATTTAAATTCTTGATGAGCTTCATTATAACACTCTTGGCATTGGAGTGTAGCGAAAATAGTTCAACTTGTCCAGGAAAATCAAATAGGAGATAGTGATCTGCAAAATTTGATATTATCATCAGATGGGATTCCTTAAATTCTGAACCAAGAAATTGATAACTATTATAAACTAGCACAAGGGAAAGTTATAATTACTAGAAAGATAAATGCAGAGTTTAAAATACAACAGACAACAGCACAAAAAGCCACATCCTATATCAGAAGGGGTGACTAGAACAAACAATGATGCTAGGAGAAGATAGAGATCTAGACACAAACACAACCAAAATTTCAGATTCTAAATCCTTCAACAAATAAGAACAAGAAACTACCCATACCAAGTATTCATGAATGATTACATTATAAAAGGGTTTTTTTTTTTCTAATGGGCAACAGGAATTTATTATGAGCAAAAACAATGCTAAGAAAAGGTTAAAACTTTCAAGATAAACTAGAGATTCATATATAATGCTGAATAAACAGGTTTCCTCAACATTTTGACCAGCATTGGTTGGAAATAGATTGATCGACCATTTTTGAGGGGGGAAAAACTGATGAATTTATACCAACCTTTCAAAAGAGGTGCCAATCTAGCTTGCAACCAATCTATATTTTTCTCTAGATAATCCATGCAATAAACCAAGCCTGTAAAAGACATAAATATGTAATTCCAACAAAAATATTGAAAAATGAAGTATGTTGGTCAATAGCTCACCATATAGTCAACCTACTAAAACACATTACAGAAATTTCCCAGCCTTTAATTTTTTTATCTTCAGAGAATGTCTCTCTCTCTCTTTCCCGTTCTTTATGCAAAATCTCTATATTAATGATAAAAGGTTTTTCATACAAGACAAGATTCTCTGTATCACTTTATAGAGTTTTTTTCTATTTCTCATCCATAACTTAGCAAGTTTTTAACGTGACATGGATGCCATGCAGCTTCCAGAATAGCATGTTGAACTCATCATGCATTGACATTTGGGAACCTGACATAATAATTTTAGAAGACAAAGAGACCAACAAAGACTTCGGTATACCTACCTCCATTAGGACCAAGAGAATGTTCCATCATCACATCACTTAACTTGATTAGATCCTCAATGTTTACAGCACATTCATAACTACATTTCTGTCAAGGATACCTGAACTTATATTTCAGCCAAATGAACTCTTGAACTTGAATATTAACACATAAAATTGAGATCAGAGAGCCAAAAGATTGGGGAGGAAAGCCATTAGCAAGGATACGGTAATGAGTCATTAGCAGGATCCAAGTTGATAACGGCAACCTTTCTACATGCAAGCAAGAAATTGTCATTGACACAATGAGAAAAAATGTGCAAGTATATTGCGTTCTCTAACTAAGAAACTGAACATTAACACTGAAAAGTTCACGACTGTGAATAAAAGCTATTGTGCCACCCCTTTCAAGAGATAGTTTTAACACATAAGGCTTTCTAGAAGTTGTCAAATAACAGAAGTTACCCATTGATGTGCTACATAATAAAATATTTAATTACAGCATGACTCTTTACCGAATCAATAAGCTAACATTTTCCATCGTTAGCATAGAAGACTTCAATCAAGTAGAAGTTGCACAACAATAAAAGGGATGGGAAAATAAGAACTTCTTCACAAATAAAACTCAACTCCCAGCTGCTTCCTTCAAGGAATGCAATCAATTATCAAGAGCTCCGGAGTTGTTTGGGTCAGATGGAACATTAATTCTAACTTTAAAAAAGAAAAGAAAAGAAAAACAAAAAAGATCAAGCCCTGGGTTTGGAATTTGGTATTCAACATGGGAAATCGAAGTCAAACATCTACTGCCACAATGGCTTGGCATAGAACGTATTAGGTTATCGAGTTCAAAATTGAAATTATTGTAGGAAGTGCTGAAGTAACCAAACTTCGAACGTCGATTGTTACCCATCTATCTAGATGATTGTTTGATGATTTGAATAAAGAAAATTCAAAAGAAAAATCCAATTGCTATAGTTCCAATCTTCATCCAGTCACAAGGTATAGTTGGCTTCCTACTACTATATGGATTTAACTAATAGCAGTTCCAAAATCCTGAAAAGTGAAAACCCATTATTCTCTGGCAAAGAGATAAACCGGCGTCCCACTCGGACTGGACGGAACAAACGAGTCATCGTGAGATTTTCAACCAAGATATTAAAATTGAATTGGGTCCGGGGTTAAGCTAACTGAGAAGATATTTGGAAATGAGTTCAATGCGTTGCTATGCTGCACCAAGGAGAAGTTCGTACCTTCCGATTAGTTTCAAAAACTGAGACATGCCATTACAGTAGGTGGTCTTCCCTGAACCAGGCGGGCCGATCACAACTTGCCCAAACACCATCTTCGTTTTCCACTCTTCCCCTCCGCACTAGAAAATAGCTTTTAATTCTTCCGCCAAGAAATTTTCCGAAATAGTAGGACTGCAACAAGTCGAATCTAAAGTTTTCAATGCACCAAATGCTAAAACAACAGAAGAAAAAAAATTACCAGGATCAGTCCGCCTTCTACCGGCAACTACGCACTGGTTCCAGAATAAAGAGGAAACCAAATAAAATGGAAAGAAAGAAGAAAATTTGTTATTTTAATAAATCATTCAAAAAACAACTTTAATTTTTCCAAAAGAATAAAGAGGAAACCAAATCAAACATATGAGAATGATGACAAAAAAAAAAAAAAAAGCCAACTGAACGTCAAACGAGCAGCAAATGCCAAATAGTTCGCACTTTCTTTCCATTTTGCTACCCTCACCTTTATTTTGTTCCATCTTTTTGAGTTTTTGCTTTTCAAAATAGTTACCTGTGGCTGAATTTAGAAGAATAGAAGAGAAAGTGAGAAGTTTCTGTGTGGATTTTGAGATGGTTTAATGAAAATTTGGTGAAAAAACAATTGGAGTTAGGTTAGAAGATGGAAGGAACAGAGAGCAGGTGGGGGGAAAGAAGAAGTAAAATGTCGGGTCATACCGGTTCGGTTTTCCTCAACACCCGACCCGACCGATTACACCCCTAAATTGACAACAGAGAAAAATAATTATCAGGGGCATTCCGAGAATCGAACTCGGGATCTCTCGCACCCAAAGCGAGAATCATACCACTAGACCAAATGCCCAGATGTGATTTATAAATGAATAGTTTATTAGGTAATAACTAGCAAGTAATAAGTGCGTACGGCCAGCAGTCGTCATAAATTGAGTTTTTCTTAGTATATAAATTGAGAAACAAAAAAATGGAGAGCGATTTGAAAGGTCCACTCTACTCTCCGCTTTGCCAACTGCCAACCCAATTATTCCAATATGCCCATGTTCCATGGCTGTCTTCCCTCTCATTTTACTTTTAAATATTTATTCAATTCACAAATTTCTAGGAAAAACATAACTTTTTTAAAAGAGGAATCCAAAACCGTTTTCGAAACCACAATTATTTGTTAATAAAAAGATTAATCATGATGAAAATTTTAAAATGGTCTTAAAAAAGACACAACTGTTTGAAATTTGATATACTTCCAGAACATATTTTCAAAATAAAATGGAAAGAATGAAGAAAATTTGTTATTTTAATAAATCATTACTTAACTTTTCCAAAAGGATAGAGAGGAAACCAAATCAAAGTTTCAAACACATGAGAATGATAAAAAAAAAAAAAATTAAAAAGGCCAACTAAACGTCAAACGAGCAGCAAACGGTTCATTTTCTAAAACCCCAAGGTCTATAAAATCAAAATTATAAGCAAACAAACAAAAAGCAATTTCCTGTGTAGAAAAATATTATCTTTGGAGAATAATCTCGAACCCACTCTTACTAGTTGTGGTAATAAAAAAATAATATTTTATCTCATACAACTTACAAAATTTAGGGGTAACATTTAATTTTTTTCCTCCTAATTATTATGATCTCAAAAACAGGAATAATTCAATTTCATTTAAACTAGTTGTGTATATTTTGGAAATTCCCTTTTCTTGACTCGCCATACTGTGCCCCCTCTTTATTCGTTTGTCACCCCTCCAAACTGTCATGGTCCCATCCGGATTCCTTGACACACAGATATTTTGTGGTCATGTTACAAATAAAAAAAATAATTAAAAAATTTTCATAAGAAAGTTATTGCCTTATTGTTATTGTTTCTTTTAATGATAAGTTAAATTTTAACTTTAAACTTTTAATTTTGAGAATATATTAATTATAACATTTATTCAAATGTAATAATTAAAATGAACGAGATTCATAGTTTAAATTTAGCTTTGATTTATTTTGGTTTCCTACCTCATTTTAGTCGTTGTAGTTTCAAAATGTTTATCTTAGTCTCTAAATTTTAAAAAAATGATTATTTTGATTGACATTTAACTCAATCAATTATTTGAAAATATAACCATAAACTTGTATAAAATAATTTTATCGGGTATAAAATATGAACTAAAATAATTAATTTTTAAAAATACACAAAGTTAAAATGAACTAAAGTTAAACGCAGGCAAACTGAGTAGATATTTTGAAAGTATAGAAAACCCAAATGTAATTACAATGACAAAAAATAATATTAAAAAAAACAAACAAAACAGCTAGTTAATTTCAAATTGATGTGGCTATTCACCATCTTTTGTTGTCAAAGAATAGAAATTTCACTTTCAAAAGAAAGTAGGGAATGTAAGGGGAATAATATAATCTCCATTCAAAATTTAGTAGGTCTAATATTGGCTTTAATTTTTTGTTCCTCTTGAAAGTCTTAGCCTATAGTAACCAAATTGATTGGGGGGCAAAAAAAAAAAAAAATCTTAGAGACAGGGGGGTGGTTGGTTGGGTTGGGTGCTTGCAAATTCAGACAAATTGATTACACATTCCATTTATACCCTCCAACTTTATAGATTTGTCTTAGAAACCATTGCCAAAATTTCCTCTCCCTCCCTTATCTCCTCCACATTGTCCTCTTCTTCTTCATCTTCATCTCCATCTCTTTAAACACCGACTCAAAATTCACTCTCTACGTCTGAAAGTTCATCTCCAAAGGCTAAATCAAGGCATGGCTTTCGCAGGGACAACCCAGAAGTGCATGGCCTGCGACAAGACTGTGTATTTGGTCGACAAGCTCACTGCTGACAATCGTGTCTACCACAAAGCTTGCTTCCGCTGCCACCACTGCAAAGGAACCCTCAAGGTTACTCTTATTATTATAACATCACATCATCTCTCGGATTCCTTTTCTCTTTCCCAAATGTCATTGCCTTTTTTTTTCCTTCTCTCTTGCGTTTCTTGGATTCAACACTACTGATCTGTCCCTGAGCTAACATTTCAAAGCAAAATAAATTACTATTGGGGTCGATTCATTTTGATTGGTCGGAATGAGTTCTCAGATCTCTGCCCTGCCCTGCCCCGCCCCGCCCCGCCCATGTATTTGTTTTGGTGGGGGCTATGGTTGAATTAAATGATATTCACTAATTAATTTCAGATCTGATTTTTGCTGCAGCTAAGCAATTACAATTCGTTTGAAGGGGTGCTCTATTGTCGGCCACATTTCGATCAGATCTTTAAAAGAACTGGAAGTCTAGACAAAAGCTTCGAAGGTAAAAAAAAAAAAGACCCCAAGTTTTTAAGTAATATCATCAGCTCAAACAAACCTTCATTATTTGTATTGTGCCTCATTTTAGGGACACCAAAAATTGGGAAACCGGAGAAACCGGCTGATTCTGAGGTATCTAATTCATGCAAAATTTTCCAATTGTGTAAGTGATCATAATATAATTCAACTGAGTTTGACAGATGAAATCGGCGGCGACCAAGGTTGCAAGCATGTTTGCGGGCACCAAAGACAAGTGCCTTGGGTGTAAGAACACCGTATATCCAACGGAGAAGGTAAAATTACTAAAATCTGATCATACGGATGGCTGCAACTTTTAGAAGACACAATTTGATTTGTGTTGTGTTGTGTTGTGTTTTCTCAGGTTTCAGTGAATGGTACCTCGTACCACAAGAGCTGCTTCAAGTGCTGCCATGGCGGATGTACAATCAGCCCATCAAACTACATCGCACACGAAGGCCGGCTCTACTGCAAGCACCACCACACCCAACTCATCAAAGAAAAAGGCAACTTGAGCCAGCTCGAGGGAACCCATTAAATATAATAATTCTCTTAATTTCTAGTCCTGTTTTTACGCTTAAAATACCAACGTTATGTAAAAAACAAAACATGTTTATTGTGTGTGGGTCTCTCTTGTTCATTGTTCTTGTCTTTCTACTTTCCCCCCTCATTTCTCGCTTTGCAGCTGCTTGAATTGAATTCAAAAAAATTGAACTACATTACATACATATATGTCATATGATATGATTAATACCGTCTAATATCTTATAGTTCCACACTAAAATTTACATAGACATTTACCCATTACTTAATTTCTAGATGTGGTACGTAGTGGGGCTCCAAAACTAACTGAGCTACCTAAGGCCTTTTTTTTTTTAGTTTTGTTTTATTTTATACATTTTTAATATTAAACATTGGTACAAATTGGTTGGGAAGGATCGTTATCTCTTGTTTGGGTGTGGAACCTCCACGTGAAGAGGTAGTCACGTGAGACGCACGAGAGTTTGATGACATCGCAGAAGGCGGTGATGGAATTCTTCTTCCCGTCGTTGCTTCCCCACTCGATCCTGACCCAACAGGAGAATCCGTTGGAGGAATGCGTCACCGCCGCCGCATCGGAGAGGTGGAGCATTACTTCGCCGCCGATTCTCCTGCCTCTGAACCGTTCGTCTCCGGTCACCATCGAGTCCAGCCACGGGCACTCCGGCTGGCCCACCATTTCCTTGTACGCCGAATTGGCCATTCTCACTTTGTTGTTCG